TTTTTTTTAAAAAAAGATAATAGCCAGATGCAGTGGTGCATGCCTGTAATACCAGCAGCTAGGGAGGCTGAGGCAGGGGGATTGTAAGTTCAAAACCAGCTTCAGCAACTTAGTGAGATGCTAAGCAACTTAGCAAGACCCTGTCTCTAAATAAGATACAAAAAGGGGCTGGCGATGTGGCTCCATAGTTAAGCATCCCTGGGTTCAACCTCCAGTACCAATAATAATAATAAATAAATAAATGTAAAGAACTGGTGATGTAGCTCAGTGGTAGAGGGCCCCTGGTTCAATCCCAAGTACTGCAAAAAAAAAAAAAAAAAAAAATTGGAATCTCAGAAGAGGGACATCCAACCAGTCCAGAGGGGAAGGGTCAGGGAAGCTTTTCTGGAGGCGAAACCTCAAGCACAGTTTAAAGGGTAGATAGACTCAGATGGTGAAGGAAGGCCTCGACTACAGAGCAGGATCAGCATGAGCAAAGGCAGGAAGAGCACGGCAAGTGTTGGGAACTCAATGGCTCAGTGTTGCTGAAGTCACAAGTGTGAGACCAAGAGGGATGTGGACAGGCTTAGAGCACTGGCCAGAGCTGGGTCATGCAGAGCTTTGCATGACAGAGCCACACCTTGATTCTGTAGGTGGCAAGGAGCTCAGGTTCTTGTTATGAGGGACATGGTCAGGTTGGTGGCTTAAATAAATCACCCTGGATTTGGAGGGGCATGCTTTTCCTCTCGTGGGCTCTCCTGCAATGACACACTGCCCTTCATTGGTTTATTTCTAAGGGTCAGAGATCTGCTGCAACCTGGCCAACCTCAAAGACCCTCTATGGATTGACTGACCCCTTGCAAACTCATTAAAATTTAATTGCCCTTGGACCATTAAGAGGTGGTTAGGTCACAGAGTGGATTAAGGCCATTATGGAAAGAGTGGGTTAGTTATCTTGGGAATGGAGTCCTATTAAAAGGATGAGTTCTACTCTTTTTTTTCTTCTTTTTTTTTGGTCTCTCTTGGGCTTCCTCACCATGTGACGCCCTCTGCCATGTTGTGATGCAGCAAGAAAACCCTTGCCAGATGCTGGTGTTTGCTCTTGGACTTCCCAGGCTCCAGAACCTCAAGAGAGAAATCTGTTTATTGTAAATGACTCAGTCTCAGATTTTTCTCTTACAGTAGCCAAAAACAGCTGAGAGAAAATTTCCAGCTATAATATTCTGTGAACCACAAGCATTCCAAAGAACTGAGCCCTCATCCCTAGAAGACTTGCAAGTAATTAGGATGCTCTGAAGCACAAATCTGAGCCCTGTGCAGGCAAGGACTGGGCCTTATGCATTTTACATCCCCAGACACAAAATACAAATGTTAGATGGATAAATATCCATGAGTGACACCCTCGCATTCCAGAAGCCCTGCAGGTTCACCAGCCTCAGCTCTATCACCCAACTGGCCTCTTCAAATCCTGGGACCAGACTAAAGGGCATCCAAGGATGGCCTGATTTGTCAAGGTGTTTGCTTCTTTAATTTTCATTAGAATTCTGAAAGAATTAGGTTTCTGAAGACTGCCTGCCAACCCTCTCTACTAGGATCTGCTGGAATGTTCACAGTGCTGACTGGTATGTAAAATGCTGTTTATGATAATAAATGCAGTTGGTTCTCCAAATCTGTGGGTTTTGAACTTGTAAATTTAATCAGCTGAAATCTAAAGTATTCCAGGGCGTGGGGAACTGCATCTATACTGAACATGCAGACATTTACCCCTCATCAATATTATACACAATAGTATACCAACACAGCATTTACTTTGTAGTAGGCACTATAAGTGATCTAGAGACAATTTAAAGTGTTGGGGGAGTGGGTGTAGCTCAGTGATAGAGCACTTGCCTAGCATGTGGGAGGCCTGGGTTCCATCCCCAGCACCTCAAAAACACACAAAAACAAAGTGTAGGGAGGAACTATACAGGTTATAATTTTAGGCCATTTTATGAGGAATTTGAGCACCTATGGATTATGGCATCTGCAGAGGTCCTGGAAATAATCCCCTGTGGGTGAGGAGGACCCCACCCAGCTGCCTCATGGAAAACCTGATGCAGTCCCAATCTAATGTAATCAAAAGTTGGGGGCTTTGTCTTCAGGCAGTGGTAGCCTTGACCTCCCTTGCTGGTTTGCTGTATTAGAAACAATACCCCTAAAGAGCCTAACATTGCCTGGTTTGTGATTATGTGGCCACAGGCAAGATGTAACAAGCCTGTCCTCATTTATGAAACAGAAGTGACAACATCCACTGTGTAGGACAGCAAGCATTAATGCATAAAGCAGCTCCCAGACGTTCTGAGCACCAGCAGTAATCACTTAAGATGATTCCTGCCCACCACTGCTGCCCAGGAGCAAAGTGACTGAGCACAAGACAGACAGCAAGACATCATTCACAAAGATCCCACTTAGTACTAACTTTCTACCTCCTTCCTCCCATCATTCCCTGTCCCACACAGATCTAGGGCCACTGGATCCTCCTGGAGATGAGGCTCCTAAAGCAAGATAGAAACTGCCACAGAAGGCCACAGCAGGGAGTGTGCCCATTTCAGTCCCAGACAAGCCAGGATCAAGCAGGGACCTCCAATGCCCAGTCTTCCTCCAGTATGGGCACCACTGCTCTACCAACTCTGGGAGCCAGTATCTCACGGAGTGTCCCATTGACAGAGGAATCTGTTGGGCCTGCTGCTGGTGGGCAGCAAACAATAGTTCAGATTGGGATCCATCACATGGCAGCTCTTATGTCCTCACCCCCATGAACTTCCTCCCTCAGGGCCAATTTCTCATCTATACAGGGAAGCTGAGGACTCAACCTGAGAGCTGCCTGAGGGGGAACTCACTTTGCAACTGAAGTTTGAAGTGGTGCATGGTGTAACACCAGGCACACAGCCGTGCCCACTGTTTGCCCTTCTGTCCCCCGAGGCCCCACCCCAGCCAATGCTCCCAGGAGAATCCTCAGTGCTCTGAAGTTCAGGACATCCAGACAGACTTCAAAGATGGCTGTTAGCCAGGCCAGGTGTGCCTGACCATGGGCTGGCTGTCCAGGAGGGTCCTCTGGGCTCACCAGACTCCTCCCGTGGTGGCAAGCATCAGGGTTTCTCCACTGCTGAGCTGCACCTCAGCTGGCGGAACCTAGACCACCTCACAGCCAAAGAAGCCTTGAAGTCCTCAGTTTTCATTCTGTCCCAGCAGGGATTAGCTCCATCCTGGGAGGCCTCAGCTTAGCCATTTAACTCATTAACAAATAACAGGCAAACACAAGGCCGCAAAGTTTAATTTGTGCTGTTCACATAGGACACTGCTTATCGCTAGTGTCAGCCCCCTGAGAGCACCCCTCCCCCCACACAGAGGAGGAGCAGGGGATGAATGTTCAAGGACACAGAAGGGAAATAAGAGCTGTGTGCACAATTCTTGGCCACTCAGAGGCAGGAAGGACGCTCCCCAATTTCTCCTGCACTCACAGGCTCAGCACAGGGGCGTGAGGAGTGGAGGGTAACAGGGAACACAGTGCTGGGATTGTGCCCGGGCCGCAGGCAGGGGTCAAGGGGTGGGCTTGAGAGGCCCAGAGCTCAGGGTGCCAGCTGGCTACTTTTCCTAGACAAAAGCAAGCAAAGAAGCTGCCACAAAGAAGCTGCAAGAGCTGGGGGCCAGGAGGGCTGTGCCCTCGCTGCTTCCTTCAGGGGAGGCCTTTCGGGCTCATCCTTTGTCAGGCAATCCAGAGCTACCCAGGCCTGCCCAGCTGCAGCAGCTCCACATTAGGGCCAGAGGTCTGCTCTCTGTGTCCCGCCCTTGGTCAGTGAAGATACCAGCAGGGCTGTCAGACCAAGCGAGAGACACCTCTTGGTGTCTGCTGATCCGTGTCCCACTGTGTAGACAGAAGCAGATGTGCTGACCTCACCCCCTCCTGCCCTGTCCACATGTGTGCACACATTTGGGAGGCAAGCAGGTGAGGGGAAAGACACAAGTGACCTTCCCAGCCTGACAATTTGAAGAAAGACCTTATCCCCAGTGGAAGCAAAAGGAAGAAAGCGAGGGCAGTCTCTGCAGGTACGGCTCTGGAAGGCCCCGGGCTCAGCCTTTCGTCTCTGAGGTCTGCAGCAACCAAGAGTCACCAGAAAAGATCAGTGGCTTTGGTGCTGAGGTGACAGGATGCTTTATCTTACACATACACACCCCCAGCAGGTTCCTAGGAAAAAATGCCAGGCCTTGGAACCCACCCAGGGTGGGGCCCCTCTAGATGCTCTGGGGAGGTCAGAAAGGCTCTCTGCTGGTGGAGGTGTGGGTCTGGAGAGACTCCACTCAGTCACACCCGGAGGCAGAGCTACCCCCATGGCTGCTCTTCGAAAGGCCTCAAGAATGAATCCCCACTCGGGGAGGGCCGCTTCCAAGTGCAGCCACGCGCTGCAGAACCGCTAGCTGTTGTACAGGGGAATCACCCGGGTGATCTCCCGCCGGCAGATGGGGCACCTCTTGGGCTCTGGCAAGGCATGGTAGCACTCACGACAGGAACAGACATGCCCGCACTCCAGGAAGACGCAGGACTTGAAGCTGCTCAGACACACGACACAGGCACTCTTCAGACTCTCCCGGTCCTCGGGCAAAGCTTGACTCAGCAGCTGGGCCTCGTGTTCCCGGAATTCCTCCTGCAGCTGCTCTACGCGCAGGCGCTCCTGCCGATGCAGATACTGTTTCCGGAGAATAAAGAAGAGGGTGACACACGTGGTGAAGCCAAACACCAGGGCCAGAACCTTCCAGAGTCTGACGCTTGACTCTTGCCTTTGCAGCAGGCTGTCAAAGTCCTGGCTGCTTAGGTAGTACTGCATGCCTTGCTTGGGGGGCTGCAGACGCACGGAGTTGTTGTCTAGGACAAGTTCACCAACCCCCGTCAGGGTGGCCCCCACCTTCAGCATCTCTTCAGTTTCTTGGATGCCTTTGGGCCGTTCTCCACTGATGTAGTGGCCAATGACATCGGTGAAGGACTGGACCGAGGGGTGGAACTTCTCGTACACAGTCTCCAGGCCCAGGTCCACAGAGTCCAGGGGCTTCAGCACTCGTACAGCCACAGCCACGCCATCCTCATGAGGCACCAGATCAAAGGGCACAGTGTTGGTCCTCTGGTGAATGATCTTTGAACAGTCATTCCTAAAAGAATAAGAGGACTAAAGATGAAACCAAGAGCGAGATATCTAGGCAGTGGGAGATCACCTAAGTGGCAGCAGGACAGGACAGAATTCACTCTAACTAGGACTGCAACAGCAATCACTACTCTCTGACCTCATGATGTGAGGCTGCAGTGCCTAGGTCCTCAGGTGGGGTCAGTGGGCAGAAAGTACCAACAGAGGTCCCTTTGCCACTGTCAGATAGACATCCGAGACAAAAGTTGCTAGAATCAGATGGAGAATTGGTACTCCATGTAAGGGCACAAAATTATTTTAACACTGAAGTCATTAATCTATAAATCAGTGGTCCTCAAACTTTAGAGTGCTTAAGAATCAATAGATTCCAGGTCCCTTCCAACCTGAAAATTCTAGTTTGGTAGGCCAGGACGTGGGCCCAAGAATCTGCATTGTAATAAGCTGCCTATGGGCTCTGACAGAGGTCCATGGAACACACAGTGGTATCGCCAGCATCACAGGCTGGTTTTCAACCTACTCAGGAGATGCTGAAGACAGCAATCTCAGATCAAAACTGTTAAAGATGGGGGTACCCAGAACCCCAGCCTATGGACAGACCAGCTACCGTTTTCATTGGGGTGGAAAGGACACATACCAAAGGTGGGTTGTTCGATTCCACACCATCTTGTGCTCCTGAAGCGTCAGTCGCTGAATTACCCCCTTGCAGTTCTCAACAAACTGACTGTTCAGCGTTTCTTTAACAGATCGCACAGCTCCTAAACAGAAACAAATCATTTCATTTCTGAAGAACTGTTCTGCCCTCTCTTTCAGGTGATTCAGAATGTGGTTTCGGTCTCTTAATTAATCAAAGTGAATACATTTGTATTGTACCACCCTAAGGTACATCTTAGGAGCACTATGCTGAGCACCTTACCTGGGTCACATCATTTAAGTCTCACAACAACTCTACAAAGTAGGAATTAGTTTACAGATAAATAATCTCTAGTATAATAAGAGATCAAAAAAGGTTTGAAAATTTTTCTCAAGGTCACAGGGCAATCACTCAGATCTTTCTAACCCCAAAGTACATTCAGACAATGAACCTCAACACCATAAAAGGCTCTTAATGTCAGCCAAGACAATCTTTTTGTTTTTGCAGTAGTAGGGATTGAATCCAGGGCCTTGTGGGTACTAGGCAAGTACTCTACACTGAGCCACACCCCCAGCCCAGCCAAGATAATTATCAAACTTTTGGAAGAAGGAAGTTGTTTTCCATTTACCATTAAACAAACATACCTTCAATAACAGCATAAGGCACACATTTTCCTGGAGCTTCTGAAAGAATACTCTTTAAATCTTCACCCAAGTGGATTTTCTTAGCTCCCTAAACACACATACACACACAAAAATTAAATTGGCCAATGAATACTAACATAGTCAACCAAACAAGGGCAAAAAAAGATCTGTTTTTTTCATGTTGGGAATAAAAAAAGCTGAGCAGAAAGAATACTACAGATAATTCGACTCCAAAAGCTGACCCAGAGTTTCAACATGTAAAACAGGCTAGGAGCAGGGCCTTTAGTCACTGCTCTTTAGTCACTGCAGACTGAGGGTGCCACATACATTCTTTTTTCTATTTAACCAAAACCGATGCCCCTTTTAATTTGAACACATTTAATCTCTTCTTGACAACACAGTGCTGTTGTATAAAGCACATGGTAGAGGCTCAAAAACAGGTAGGTGTTAATTACCACCATGCCTCTGTGAATGGATGCCCTGCACTGTTATAATAAAGAGATGCCTTTGCTTTCTTCGGGCAAGTCTCTGTTAACTGGTGCCCAACAGTGGTCTGCTACTTTTTAATTTGTCTTTCTTCCCTCTCACAAACAAGCCTGCTGTTACTTCTGTTGCTGTCTTCCTCCAACAACCCCCAGATCTCCCACCCCTGGTGCTCCCTTCTCCTGCCTTACTCTAAAACATTTTTTTGTCACTGTGTCATACCATCTGATCATGCGTTTTGTTAGTCAAACTGTACTAGAATGGAGTCTCTCCTACTGCTGAGAATAGTGCCTGACACACAGCAAGTACTTGATATATATTTATTTGACAAATAAATCAATGATTAAAGTACTTAGATACACCATTGTACTAGGCACTATGCTAAGCACTTCAAATGCATAAACCTATTAATGCTGGTGTTGTCCCCATACAGTAGGCATTATTACCTGCAATTACAGAAAGGAAACCAAGGCTCAGAGCAGTGTAGCTACCTGCCTACTTTACAGTTAGTTAAAGAGAGAGAGAGAGAGAGAGAGAGAGAGAGAGAGAGAGAAAATCCCTCTGGTGAATGATCTTTGAACAGTCATTCCT